TTTAAATAAAATTAGAAAGGTACAATTCAAATATTCATTAACAGTTTTTTCAACGTTTACATTGTTAAAAATAATGTTAATTTTATTTTTAACGGTGTAATAAATAGTTGACAGTGTAATAAATAGTTAACAGTGAAATAAACAGTAATTGTGAATTATTTCTTGTCATTTACACTTATGACATATACGTACTAAACAGTGACAAAACAGCAACAAACTTGAAATATAATATATTGCTTTCTTTGGAACAATACACACACTTAATTCTGGAATACTTAATTCTGGAAAAATAGCGAGGTCAAATGCAGCCTCAAAAATTATTTGAGAAAGAGGGAAAATAAATGAAAGAGATAAAATGTAATTTTCATTAACGATTTTTCTGTATACGTTTCATATAAATATATTTTTATTTTTAATAAATACACATAATAAACTTAATCTTTTAATTTTCTACATAATATCTACATAATATGAACATCATGAGAGATGTAAAGTCAAATAAAACTTTATATTTTAAAAATGTTTGCATTTTACTTTTGCTTATAATTTTACTTTGCTTCCTTCTCTTTTTATACATTTTATATAATATTTCATATATTTCACAATTTATGTAAGCAATAAATTTGAAAATTTAATCGACTGTAATACATGTGCTATATTAAAATGATTACATATATTATAATATCTTCTAATGATGTTCTTTAACAGCTTGAAAATCTTATTTATTTAGAGCTTTGCAAGCTTGCATTCTTGTATGCACAGTAAACCATCAAATGCTTTCATGTAATCCAGGGTAAATATTGCTTTAATCTACCCTAGCCCATTCGTACATAAAAGCAATGGGAGTGTGAAATGTTACGTCTATTCCCAAGTTTATTCCGTTCTGTTATAATATTCACGGATTTATTGCCTTTAAAAATAAAATAAAGCGTACTTTCTCACTCACCCATACGATGCGCAGCAGTGGAGTTATATCATCATGTTAAATCTGTAAAATATAAACAAAAAAATCTGTATTATGGCAGCGTCCAAATATTAATATGAAAGAAAATAATCATTTTATGTGCATTAAATATTTCGTTTGTTTCTTTTTTAATCCTCTACGAACCAAATGAAAAATCCAAACATGAATCATATGTAGATATATCTCACATTTCATGCTGTATTTCATCGTAAATATATTATAATTTAGTATGATTGATAACAACACACTTTTCAGTTGCATGAAACCGGCAACATATGCGCGGTACTTTTTAGAAAGTTATAAAAATTCATCATGCTGAGGTATGTCATCCTATTCGGTTCCCGGAGAATTAAGTAGATTTAATAAAGTAAACTACACATAAAGTTCTCCTAAAAAATATTTTTTTTCTTAATCATAAACTTTGATAAATAAAAGTTTTTTCTCTAATTCTTACATAAATTATAAGCTAAAAGAAATTCAATAATTCGAAAATAATAAAATAATAAATAATATAAATTACTTACTCTAAGATTACTCCGCCATTGCATGATGTCTCTCTTAAGCTTCCTCCTCCTCTCAGATAGCTTCACTGCACTCACACAACACTCGCAAGAACACGTTTAATTAAGATCGTGCGACACTTTCCACGACACTCTCGAAGGTAAATTAGCACAAGAGGTGAATTTCGAATGACAGAGGCGAATCTCGAATAATCATCGTAAATAAACGCTAAAATTACGTTACACAATTGACAAATATATATCAAAGCACGAAATAAATTACGATTTTGACAGTTAAACGAATTCTGATTACTCGAAGTCAATTCGTTCCGTATTCGATTCATTAATGCCAAAAATTTGAAATATCAGCTATTTTACCATCGTCATGGTGAGGTTAATTAAAGGGCAATTAAATTACGCGCGTTGATAATTTTTTCTTATAGGAGAAATAGTTCTGATTTTCGCACTTATTGTGATTGAGTCTCAAGAGTCTAATAATGCGATATATAAAATATTTGTAAGGCAACATGCCTTACGTTAATTTTATATTTGTATATTCCGAAAAATATAAAAAACTATATAATTTCAATAAAATAATATAAAAGATATAATATATATAACCATTTGGTAATTGCTTATTTTGTTCTACACAATCCAGAAAAATAGTAATAGATAGATCTTTAATAGATATTAGATAACAATTAATACATAGATTACATTAAAATTAAAAAATTTACAAAAGAAAGTTTAAATTATTAAATTTGAAAGATATTAGAATTATGGGTCAATTTTTTAAGCAGAATCGTAAGGCTCGTAACTTGTTCTCGTAAAACTAGTAAGAATTTATGACTGAAGTAATTCTATGCGTACCGTAAGACATACGATCATTCGTAAATATCTACGATTTCTCGTAAATCTCATTGGCTAGCAAGAAGCTGTCTGTAAGAATATTGCATAAAGTTATAAGCATTTCAGTCATAAGTTCTTATAAGTTCTTATGAAAACAAGTTATGAACCTTATGATACTGATGCTTAGAATTGACCAATTAGTATCACAGAATAAAGAATGATCACATCGCAAATTGTGTAACAGAACAACAATTTATAATCTTCACATTAATATTATTTCGATTGCTATTTCAAAAGACTAAATCATGTGAAACATTTTTTCAGTAGATAACCGTCGTCCCGATATCGTTATTATATCACGGGAATTAATTAATGTTTTCTTATTACTTATCGTGATCAATTTTCAAAGAATAAGACAAAATATGAAATATGTTCCACAACCTCCTCATTCGACAATTGGTGTTCGAATAGTGCATCGCGCGATACTGGTGACTTTGTTTACGCAGCGTGCAATCATGTTATAAAAACAAAGATCAAAGCCACGCGCCAATCGAATTTTTGCCAATCGAATTTTAACGTTTAAAATATTCAGCAGATAATATTCACATAGATTTGCGTTTTACATCTTAAATATATATATTAAATATATATATCGCTCAATGCATTTAATGTTTATTTGAGAAGCAAGAATTACTTTTGTTTTGATCGAAAAAATTCATTGTAAAATAACATTGAATACTTTTCTAAAAATTTCGTTGTCTTGCATAATTTTAAGAAATTATTTTTAAATGGTTTTAAATCAAGAAAATAAAATGATGTCAGAATGAAAAACGGAACAATCTTGAATTCTTGATGCATTAAATTCACAATTTTGATTCTTTTACGATATAAAGATTGAGAAGTAATGAATATAAATTATATATAATTTCATCGTGTCCTATCAAATAAAAATAAATTTTATTTTATCATTTAAGATATAAAAATAATTTATTGTTTGTAACTTGAAAATTGTTGTAATTGTATTTCTATATATATTTGGATTTTTTATTCTAATTAATCTCCAAACACAATTCTTCACAATTAAAATATTATAAGGTAAGTGTGGAATACCTTGCGTATCAAAATTTAGTAATATTGAATAAAAATAATTTAATGAATGAAGAAAACAACAATCAAAAAAATGATTATTATATTGATTTCTAAATTATTTCATTTCATAAAACTTTCTTGCCATTACTAAGACCTGTTTTTCAAAATAATTACTGCAGTAAGAGAAATAAAATTTATTAAATATAACATGTGTAGTTGAATTAAAAAAATAATTTCGCAGTAATTAAGAATTGTAATGCAATAATTATTTTTTATGATCATTCGGACAAATTATTACATTTTTTTTAACAAATGTAAATGGAGACAAGCATATTCATTTGCGCAATCTTTACGTATTCTTTATTCTATATAACATTAATGAAGAAATGAGAAAAACATATATTTGCCGGACGAATATCGAGAACTGACAACCGATTGAAAGATATAAATGAGAAATGAAAATGCGCGATGGAGCAAGTGTACCAGTATTCTCGGGGCGAAATGATCGCTACTATGCGCTCACTTTTATGCCAGAATGCACCATCGAATCGCGTATTTTGCGGGGAAAACAGGGTAGAGAAAGCGGCCCGGTGAGTCGTGAAATAACGAAGGTGCAAGGGCGGAAATGCGGACGCGGCGAAACTGCGATGCGGCGCAATTAAAACGGGGCTTGGACGCGGAACGAAGTGTCTATTTCCTGCTCGGCGTTAATTGAAAATGCAGTTATTTATCATGCGCGATGGAACGCATTCGGGAAATCCGAAGGGGCGAGAGAAACGATCCCTCATGGCAGATTGCCAAGCTATAATTCGAACGACTTGACAAAAAGGGATGAAGTCATATTTTACTATATGCTTCAAATACAAGAGGTACAACAAATTTATACAAATCTGTTACAAAAACTTATTTAGTTGCATAAAAGTTACAATCCGCTTTACTACTTCATATTGTAAATTTAATTTTTTGTAAATGTGTTAAATAAATCATCGTGTGTTTTCACGAATTTAAAATGATTCGTTATTGTATCAAATTTTGATTTAATGATACATTTATTTTTTATCTATGTGATTTCTTTTAGCCTTACATATTGCGCGGCAAGTTAATTCATAAATGAAATCTGATTAAAGACTCATGCTAATACTATTTATACTGCGTGCTCTGATTTAGCTTATTCGCGCACTTTAGTATTTAATTGCCACCGTCGCGTAGAACGTAGCATATGAACTTTGTGAACTTTCGCGCGACTTATTTTATGCGTCAAGTGGAAATCGTAAATCGCATTTTACGCCGTAAAAATGTATCACGTGTGCCGAATTATTTACAGTCACGAGCCAAGAGATGAATATTTTCGTGAGTTTCCTTTTCGCTTCTTACGATATTGGTGGGAGCGAAATAAAATAAAAAATCATAAAATACGATGGGGATTCAAACGCGTCGTAATAAAAATCGACGCTCGTCGTAATATAACATAAAAAAAAGAAGGTGGTCTTACCTTGCTTTCGTCGAATAAATTCCGTTTACTTATATAAAAAGTTAAAGTACGACCTGCGAGCTAATGCAAAGAGATACACATACGAGGAAATGATTGATCAACTCACCCTGAAATTCTTTCCGCGCTGCACTGACGGAAGTGACGATGTTTGCGACGTGACCCAACACCGTTGCGAATAGCAGCAGACCGAAGAACAGTTGACCAATCACAAAGAGATATTCGCCCTTACTTCTCGGTCTGAAAAGAATAAAAGGAAAAAATATTCGAGATATTAAAGTGCTCAGTTAATATTGCTCGGCTTATATTTTTTATTTCCACGGTTTTTACGCGACAATTGAACGATTTTTATATAAGAGGACAACCTTATATCTATAAGTGCTCCAAATTTACACGAATATAGAAGTACATTTCTTCGACTATATCATAAAATGACTCTTCAATATCTATTAGATGATTTCTATTAAATGATCAGTCACCATCGTTTTTAAAAGAAAATAAAAATTGTCTTTGAATAGAAATATTTCCTCTAACAAATATTATAACATTGCTCGATGCGAAAATATTCTTGGCATTTTTTCGCACGAGTTTCTTTATTTTAAGTATACTAATAAAAATATTGAATTTATTTATTTGCACTGTATGTTGACTTTTTTTTGTGACAGTTTTTAAGAGTCTAGGAAAAAATATCTACGAGCTTTTTCTTCTGCGTTTACAAACATCTTTCTAATTGAAATATCGCGCAGATTTTGAAATTGTGCAATATATAACTAAAGTTTGGTCAAATATCAAGGAAAATCGCGATATAATTAATATAAATAAATTTTCGACACTGCATCGCAGAGAAATCTAAATATCGCAAAAAATTTATCAATTTGGTTATCGGTTATTTGGTTGTTTTTCTAGTGGTTTTCTTTTATTTGGATGGTTTAAATATTTTGCATACATATTGTCATCGATTTTTATCAGAGCTACGTTTTACGAGGTCTAGTATCGCGATGCAGAATTATAATAGAATAGCGCGGTGATGGCTTGTCCATCGCTTTTTATATTTAAACTGCATGCAGGATATCATTGCGTGAATACGAGGAATTACGGAATGTTATACGTGGTTAATGATAGTGAACTCGTAGGAATACCACGCGGGAAATGCAGATATAGAATTAAAATGGAAAAAAAATCGTATAAGTGAAAAAAATTATCTTCGATCAATGTGATTCTTTGTACCTAACTCATTTTTTTGTGAATTTATACCATTTTCAGTCAAACTAACTGTGCATCAATTATTTGTTAGTTTTAAAACACACCTAAATCGAAGCAGGAATAATTAACATTACAAGTAATTTAATAATTTTGTCGTTCATAGACACCTTAGACAAATTTTATTAATTTTATTACAAAATTTATAAATAATTTAATTGCGAAAAGTATTACCTCGGCCGGAAATCAAATCCGGATTTCTTGCATTCCGTGCAAGCGAAAAAAATGATTTCTTGTAGCTACGTACGCGTTTTATATATTTTTTATTATGTATTGATCTGAGAATAAATATAATTAATAAACCATGATAATACGAAAAATATTTCCGCGAATTTCCATGACGTTTTCGAAAAAAATTCTCGGATTTATTCGAGACTTCGAGCAGGTTACGAAGGAACTGTTGTTTAAATTGTTGCATAATATTGTGTTGCGACGACTGAAATAACCAAATTTCCTTTATATTCCAAGACAAACTTACCGCATCCCATATTTCATTTCATACACTATTTACAAGATCAAATGTATCTTGCCGTATGAAAGCAAAACAACATGAATAAAATTTACTTAAATAAATAAAAATTTGCATATGCAAATAGGTGAATTTTATGTTGCTTTTCTAGCGTTGAGAAATATCTGGTCTCAATATGTCAATGATATTTGTAGCGCAAAATTTTCCTGTGCAATTCATATAATATATTTACATGTAACATCAACGTATAAATAAATGAGTAAATACCTGGGTAGATCACCGATGGTCGTCAGAGCAAGAGTGCACCAGTAGTAGCTTTGCAGATATTGTTTGACAACGTCCGCCGTCTCGGAGTCGCTGAACACCCAATTCTTACTGCCGAAGCCGTTGTTCTTATAAATAATGTGATAGAGGCACCCGTTCCAGTGAAAGATCACTAGTAAATAATGTATCAAGGAGGTGGAGCGAAACAGATTCGGGTAGTTCGTGTGTCGCTCGGTCCTGTCCATGAACGCCCAGAACCTACATCAGAGATAGAGAAAACGGGTTGAGAAAATTGGCTAAAATTCCGATAATCGTGGAGCGATAAATTTCGAGATTCCTCTTAAAATATTCGGCGGCAGGAATCACGTGGAGCGAACGTGAGACAAACGTGTTTTTAATCATCATACGACAGAAAGGTTCGAGCTTGTTGCCTTCAACAGGTTAAAATATGCTCTCATCCTTTTTTTTTCAATTATTATTTATGAGTGTGACCAGATTTCGTTGTCCGCACAATTTTGCGATTTACGACACAGTCGGGAGCCACGATTAAACGATTGCGATCGATAATTTACAGTATGAAAAACATCGAAAGAGAAAAACAGAAGTCTATTATTTTTAATTTCATTTTCATCCAAACTTAAATGAACTCAATCTATACTGATCGTTACGTCAATATGAGATCATGATTAATGATTTTGCGAAATTGCTGGGAGCGTTAAATGGAATGTATTATTACGTTTGCCATATTACATTTGTCCTCTCTTTAATTCCAATCCCTTTTATCGTCGGTCTTCGTAAATATGTCCATGTTATATATAGGTTCCATTCCATATTCTCAATGCCATCATTTGTCATTAAATGTGGCCACCGATTCCGAGTTCCGTTTGCTTAATATGTCATGTTTAAAATGTCAACGTTAGATGAGAGTAAGGTACGTACACATGTAGAAATAGACTAATGCCATTCGTGAATTATCAGTTCTGACAAAATTGAATTTTATAAAATGTTGTTTACCGACATAAATTGTCGAGACAGCAATATCGCGCTGATAAGTACGAAAAAGATCACATTTTTTTTCGTACGTTACTTAATAATATTGAAATACAACACAACTCATTTGTTCATATTTTTTGTAATACATCCGGAACGCTGATGTTTGCATCGAAGTGTAAATGTTCACGTACGAAAGATCAGCACTGTTACACGCGAACTTTCACAATACTTTTCAATCTGGGTTTACTCTAAATACGTCGCGTCGCACTCATTGCTGTTCCATGAGAAGAAATCCGAACTTTTACACTTGTACATTCAAAGTCAATCACAGGACAAAACAAGAAAAGAAATTCACAACAATGACTTCAATGTTCAGAACGGACCAGATATATACTATATATATCGTGTTACTCTTTAAAACTTTTAGAGTGAATTCTATTTTCAAGAGTGGAAGTTCTTAAAGGTTGAAAATTGACTCTTTTTCAAGACTAGCTCAATTTTCACTCTTTAGAGTGAGATTCTATTCTGCAGAATTTAGAGTGTATATATACAAATGTTGAAACGGAAATGAAATATTCATGAGTTAAAAACTTTTTTGTATTCCGCAAATATGTAAAAAATATTCACAAAAAATATTTCGGTTCGTTACGCTCCACTTAATTCCGCGCCAAATTTTTTTTTAAATCATGCATCATGCATTAAATTTATAATTTTTATAGTATATTAGAATATATCACATTATAAATACAGTAAATGAATATATTACACAATAAATGAAGTGTTGCACAAGATAATATAATCATAAATTTGGCATTTAAAATCGATTCAGTTAATTAATAAATTAGAATATAATTGTAAAGACATAGTGGAAAGAATGCAAATTACCGGTAAATTTTTACGAGTCTAAAACTTCGCAGCATACTGTTAAATCCTATAGATAAGTATAAAAAGTCGAGGGGCAGCAGGCACAGGATGTCTATGTAAAACGTGGTGCTGTTTGTATAATGATTTCTCAATTTCGTAGCGTCGGTTTGCAGCACGCCGTCTTCCAAGTATCCAGTTCGAATGTGAAATATTATGTCGAGTACGTATAAAAAATCCGAGAAGTAGTCCAGGCAGAACCACACCCAACGGGTTTCTCCTGCATTCGCAAGCAAAACAATACCCATTTCAATATGCGCAATATGCGGTATTTATAATTAATATTGATTAATCCTTAACGCTTGATAATTTTTTTAAAGATAAATCGATTTTTTTATGTTTCTCTTTTATGTATAAATTTTTCTACATCGATGAATTCGTTAAAATCTCTTCATTTTCAATCAGTTATAATAGGTTATCGGTCGAAAGGCTATTGATGCCTTCGTATTGATCGCTATTATATTTAACCCGTTTTTTTGTACTCGTGATTGGGAAAAAGCTTCTACAATGGTCTGCATATACAAAAAAATATTTCAGAAATGCCTTTATTTTCTATAATTTAACTCATACGCGTTTTAATTCATATATCGTTTTATAAATCATAGAGCTATTGCTCGCTTTGATATTCAGTTAAAGTAAATATTATAATCGTTTTAACAAAAATCTAATTCGTTTAATAAAATTTCTCAAAACTTTGGAATATGAAATGTCATTACAATCAATTCACTTTGGAACGTTTTCACATGGATAAATTCACATGGATTAATATATATATATATATATATATCATAGTATAATTTAATAATTTCTCTTGTAGGAACGTTATTTATACGAGTCACAGCTTATCAAAAGTCCTATATTTATTAAAATACATTTAAATACGGATCTCGCTTATATACTCTACATAAAATCTAGATTCTCTTACAAATGATTCCATAATTTAACAAATAATGAGCTTCTCAAGAAAATAAACTAATGTACTTTTGATTCGTTCTCTAGATTCCTATGAAAAGCACGTTTATAAAAGGATCGAAGGAAGTCGTAAGTCATTGCAGACTAACCGTTGATCTCCTGGAAGGCAAATCTATAGATGATTACCCAGAAGTTGTAAAGAAAGGCAAGAGAAACCACCATCGACCAATAGTAACAGAGACGTCCCGCAGGATCGAAGATGAAGGACCAATTTGGCGCACCCGTGCGAAAACCCCTCGATCCAGGTTGCCCGGGATAGCCTCTACTACCGCGTTGCTGTTGTTGTTGTTGCGCTGTGTACCTCCTGAGACAGTAATTCAATGCAACGTACGTTGATTAATTACTTTTGTCCCTGGACGCGCTCTGCGACACGGCTGTCCATTTTTTCCGTTACTGTTTGTACCATGTACGAGAATTCGCGTATCAATTTGAAAAATTACGATGGTGGAAGTATTGAATGTTCACAGCACAGGAAAAAAAATCCCGCAATTTTGTACGCGCCAGGCGGTTTTGCAACAAATTTTAAAAACAAGTTTCCTATGTTTATGAAAAGATTTTCCCGCAATTTTGCTTCCGAGAATTCCGCGAAGATATTTCTGTTTAAAGAAGCCCCTGGCACAATTAAGCGATCTTTAGAAATGTAAGAAACACCGCCGTGGTAAGCCTCCAAGAAGTCACTTGAATATTTATGATACTTCACTACGCAGATTTCTTCATTATATTCATTTCTTGAACTTTCATCGCGAATTTCTCCTACAGAAGAAAAATTAGCATCAAATTGAATTTTTCTTGGAATATCCGTTTTTCTTAGTATCAAAGTATGAAAAGAATAGCTTTCGAAGTAACGAGACTTGATATCCGATGATAATTGAAATCGATCCGCAATTACTCGCCAATGAAATACTCACGTTTCAGTGCCGTTACAGCTACTGTTGCTGAGATGATTGACTGATGCCGGTGTGTGGAGATGCGATTGGTCACGCGAGGACGTGAGCGCAACTGTATATGGCAGCTTGAATCTGCCCCTTAGATGGTCCCTTCTTCTCGGCTTGCGACTCAGATCGAGCTCGCTCGCCCCCCGATTTACGTATCCCCCCTGAAGCGAATCCCGTGACGAGCTGAAGTATCGCTGCGACACAGAATACACCTACACCAATTAGGATGAAAAGTTATGACACTACATTACACGAAAAGAATGGTTTTAAAATATCTAAGGCCGGTATTCAAGTTCCTTATTTAAAGCTCGTCTTAAGTATCGTTTTAAGTACCGTCTTAAGATGCTAATACAGTTCTCTGATTGGCTCGTAACATCTTAAGACTGTACTAAAGACAAACTTAAATATAAGAATCGTCTATGAATACTAGCCTAAAATTTTAACTATAAATTAAAAAAAAATTTTATACAATCAAAATTGTATAGTAGGGTGATCAAATCAGAAACTTGAGTCAAAACTTTGTAATATTACTCATCATGCTTGAAATTACTATGTAATTATTTTGATAATTTAACGAAATTATTTTTAGATCTATCTATCTATACCACATTTTTAGATATCTTACACTGAAAAAAAAATGTATTAAATTTAAATATTTATTTATAAAAATAATTGTTAAAAACAAATTATTAATTTTTATATCACATGAATATATCTTTATACTTAATAAATATTTAGTTATACAATTCAAACAAAATGATTTATTAAAATTTAGTATAGTTTGCCAATGCAACAGAATCGTTCTTTCCGCGTACTTTACACGACATTATTTTATATGCAAAAATGCAATGACTATACAGTTTTGCACAAACATACAATATAAATGCAATTCAATATTTAGTAATACCACATTTATAAATGAGCAGTACAAATATTCCGTGAAAAATATATGAAATATCACAAATGACATCAGTTTTATTTACTGGAAAAAATTGGGAAAAATCAATATAATTAATTTTTCTGAAATTAAAAAATTTTAATTTTAAAATTCGACATTTCTTGCACGACCACGGTCTGTTGTTTAATATACTCATCACGTATTTTGCTTAATTGTTAACTATGATGTAATCGTTTTGATTATTTTTTTATCTCTCGGAGATCTTCATATTTTCCACATTGATTTATTCGTGCAATGTTTGAACCATGAAGGTATGGCTTGTATGTGGTTGTAATGCATAATGAAATGAACATTCGCCGGATGTTGCGAACGTTGTTATCTACTCGCAGGATTGTTAAAAAAAAATTTTTTTCATGTTGAATAGTTTAATATTAAACTCGCTTGTCCTGACAAACTCAGGGATACATGCACACACACACACACACACACACACACACACACACACACACACACACACACACACGCCGCACGCACGCACGCACGCACGCGCGCGCACACACACGATGCTTTTTACGAAATTAAATATAATACCAATTATTTTTTTTATCTTTGTAATCTCTTATTGAAATATTTAACTAATTAAAGGCTAGCTAGAGATTTTTCCTCTATTTTCTTATTTTTTTCACCGTCCTTTATTCATTCTCATTTTCGTTATTTTTTTCACAATGTCAGGTACATAACAATGTAAATTTATTCGCAATCATTATTTATTTTTAAGAAATTTCTTTCTTCCAAGAAATAGCTTAATATATTTGCATTGCGAATATAGAATTGCGAATAGAATTTATTTGTTAGAAAAATTAAATTACATTTTAAAAAACTTTATGTGAATTATTAGAAGTCTTTAAGAAAAAGGATTTCTATAATTAAGGAAAATTTGCTTCTCCCTAATCGATTCTAACAATTCTCTCTCTCTCTCTCTCTCTCTCTCTCTCTCTCTATATATATATATATATATATATATTGTACATACATAGATTTAAATAGAAAACCCACTCAAAATCAGATTCAAGGAAATATTTGACGACTATCGAAGTGCTCAATTTCGGCGAGTTCACTCGTAAAATGTCCTGCTCGGGAGTTTCCTCAGCGAGTATGGCAGTGAAACGAATATTTTATCGCGCGATCGCGGACGGTAACCAACCTGCTGCTGCTGCTGATAGTAGTAGTGGTGAGTGGGTGTGTGTCGGCCCATGAATTTACCGCTGACGAGGTCCAAGAGGCTCTGCCTCGAGGGTAAAACCCCTCTGGATACGTTCTCTGCACTCTTGGTGTCATCCTCTTTCTCCCTACCGCCGCCGGTCCTACCATCGCCGGACCTTCCACTTCTGCCGTACTTCTCGCCCCCGTAGCTCAGGGCGGACGCGGAACCGCCGCTCAGACGATGCCTCACCCCGCCTGTGATGACACCTGCAACATCAAACGATGAGAGCTGTAAACGATTCCCTTTTAACTCGACCTATGAGATTTTCTGCTAGATATCGTTTTAGAACTCTTTCTATCATTTGGAAATATTTTCTCTTTTCGCGATAATTCTGCGACTAATTCTTCTAAAAATCTTTTCTGACCTTTAAGTCTTTAAAACTTATAATATAGAAACTTATATTATTTATTGATTATATTGTTCCATAAAAAATAATATTTTTTTAAACATGGAATCGAGACAAACAATTTCCCAGTATTTTAAACGCTGAATACAAATTCGGTTTTCAAATTGCTCCATTATGTCACAATTTTGAGAAATTGGTAGTTAAAGGTGAGGAAAGGACTATTTTTTAAATACTTTAGCATATTAAATGTGATGAACAATTTGGAAACCTGATTTAGCATCCAAGAATATGAGAAATGACTGAAGCCGTTTTAGTATTTTTTGTGGAACAGTGTTATTAAATAATAACTTTTATTATATAATCTATATAATATATTATATTTTTTAAATTCTTAATAATTCTCAATCTCTTCTCTTTTATTATCATTTCTTTTATTTTTGTTTTTACTACAATATTATGTTTTCTTATTTTTTAACATGATATTTAATAAAATTAATATGTACAGAGAAAATAAATATATTGAGAGACAGGAAATGTTATTTCAGTAAAAATGTTAAGGATTTTTAATGTGTGTAAGGATTTCTGTCTTTCTGTTCAAAATCGGATAATTTATTATTTTCATAAGTCAAGAATTTCCTATGTAACGTAATAAAGTAAAACATAATGTATATGAGAATAACAAAGAATGTCTGATGTGAGAATGTGGGAAATAAAAAAAATCTTTTTTAGAAACTTATACTTACAATAAATTCTTTAATAAAATATAATAAAATTGTAATCAATTATAATAAGTATTTAACTATAAATATTTAATTATATAATAAATTATAATTATAAATTCAATTCTAACAACAATTTTGTAATAAGATTTCATTAACATTCATAAAAGATTCGTAAAAGAGCGATTAAAATGTTTGATTTTAAAATTTGTAATAATACATATCTTCCGTTTATCGTCTTTAAATTTTCTGTTAAATATTCTTTGTTAAATGGATAATCCGAATTTACGAAGAAGCAATGCTGTCTCAGTACATGAATTCAAGGCCAAGCACTGTGAATCTCATTGGAAATGCGAGAGGAGAAATAAGCAAGTTTCCGCGGAGATGAAGCATATCCTAGTATTATCTTCGTTCGCGATGACACCTGCAACGTCAAAGAGACTGCAACGAAACGGTACAAGCCCCGTTTTCTTGCAGCATGAGATTACGGCTCATCCACTTTTGCTAGATAGTAACGAAGCGTGACATGATAAGGGCACAAAATCCGTGCGGAGAAAGCTCGCGTTTCGCTCCTGTCGTCCCATGAATCCGTTTAACAGGGAATAAATCTCGATGGAAGAAGTTGTCGTATATTGTCAGATAATTTTCTCCCTGTGCAAAATACTGTGATTTGTTCCTGATCGGGTCAAAATTTTTTTATATATTCCGACAATTCTTGTATTGTATCTACAACTGCAAAAGTGTGAAAAGACTAATACTGTATCGTGTTACATCTTTGTACTATAAGCACGAAAAAATTAATTTTGCTAATCAACACGGGACATTTAAAACTTTTAAAACTTTTTGTTTTTATACACCTAGTTTTAAGCGACGACTTTGTAAATTGCTTGGCATAATAATGGCTTATAAACACCCGACGAGAGAAAGAGAAAGAAAAAGAGAGAGAGAGAGAGAGAGAGAGAGAGATCAGACAGAAAGAGAAAGATCAGATTCGCATCGTCAAAAGAGAATCGGATGGAAGAAAATGAGGAAAAGGGTGAGAATAATTAAATAAAAGACGAATGAAAATACGTGACCGAGACCTACTGTACAAAAGTAACGAAGTGTTACTCGAGAAACATCATAACGAGATTCCTGCTCTCGGAGCTGTTTCGCAAATAATCTCATGCTCGCGCGCCCGGCGTCCTCCATTAAGGTGGTGAAGAAAAACGATCGCAAGAAAATCTGCGCCGGCATTCTCTTCATTATCCTCCTCTGTTATTTTCCCGTTAATGCGATGTAAAATGACACTACGCAAAACAAGCAGCGAGGAATTTCATTGAATATGCTGACGTCAAACGAACGTGAATTTACTTTTAATAATGCCAAAGAGTGATGCCTTCTGAAGTTTATTTTTTCAAGTGTCGGAAAAAATAACTGTTTAACTTAATTAATTTACAATTATATGTTTACTAATTATTTAATAAATTCCAGCTAATTAATCTATTTTTATTTGATCAACTTTTTCAAAACGCAAGACATTAAAAATGCAATTTATTTCTTTTATTACGTTGTTTTTGAATGTAGAAAGAATATTTTATTAACAAAAAATAAATAAATATAATTACATATAAATGACAAATGATTTCAATTAAAGCTGAAAGTGCCTTGTTAAGATCTCACATCCGAGAGGAAGTACATAGTTTAGTGGGTATAAAAGTAATTGCTTTTTGGATCTCAAGAGGATTAATAGGATAAGTTTCGAAGTAAAGAAGAACTAAGATAAATTTAAATACTTAGAGCTAAAGACACGTAGTACAAAAAATTGAAAAATTGCATCATTTATTAATCATGTTCGTTATTGTTATAAACAAAATATCGATTATAATTTCACATTAAGAAATCTTAATTTTAAATTGTCATCAATGTTTTAATAATGATACAATAGATCAACAAAAAAAATTTATCAAGAAATTTTAATCTGTAAAAAGAAGAGAGAGAGAGAGAGAGAGAGAGAGAGAGAGAGAGAGAGAGAAAGAGAAAGAGAAAATCTAAAAGTTCTAATCTTTTTAAAACGGAGCTTGCTCCAAGTAAACGGACTAAAATAATTTTAGATCGAGTCGGAGATCCTGATGAATAATGCGTAACACGCTCGATAGTCATTATGGCAAGAGATGAATTAATTCTGGAAGCTGCATCGCAAACGGGTTTATTCGCGTTTCAGGCACGACGTCATGCGGTCGATGCTTTGGATGAGGACCATTGTACTTTCTCTCAAAGACCGACAGAACGCAAATATTGTGTTCGGGTAAACGTACACACGACATACGTACGTACGTACATGCGACGCGATACAATTATGTTAGCAATGAGTGTACGACTCTCCGAACCGAATTTACGTGCCCCGGAAATGCGCGGTCTTTATGCCGAACTTTATCGACCTGGCCTGCTTGGCGGATTTCCCGGTTGATCCTTTCTGATGACAATTTGTGCGGTGATGCGCGCGTTGCGCATTTTAAAATGTTAATCGAAAACAAAAGAGGAATGTCGAAGCGTAGCTCATAAACCGCAATTTACGACCGTTATGTGTCATTCGTACAAGAGCTCTTTTTTTCCTGATGTTCAAAACGAGAAATCTTTTATAAATCTTTTGGTGACTTTACGGCTGTGGTTTTTTCTAAAAAAAAAAAAGAATCGAGAAGCAAAACAAGGTTATCCTAAATCATGATTTATTGCGAAATATTATTGTGATGCAGAACAACGCGAAAATTTTTTACTTCGAATACAGATTTTCATTGACGCACTAAAAATGTTTTATGGCTGCGTGTGTTGCTAACCATTTGTGTCACGCATAAAAAAAAAGAGATGGGTACGACTAATAATTCTAACGCGTATAAAGCCTCGTCACACATTGCGACATACACGTACATGTGTAGTTTCAAATACGAATGAACCCTGTACGCGAATGCATGCGAAATTTTGTGGAATATTAGCGATAACGATCTTGCTAATCCGAAAATTCGAAGTTTGTTTGCCACATCACGTCATTTTCAGAACATGCTGCCTCACGGACAAACGACTTTTCTCTATGTGAAGGTATATATTCGCTTTCAAACTTTTACGAATGAAAATATCACGATTCCAATATCCGCCTCTCACCGACAGGTTCTAGTCCGTTCTCAAGTAGAAGAAAAGTAAGTTTAATAGTGACGCCATCCCAAACGGCTAAACGGAAATCTCTGTGAGGGGAAAATTGAGAAAGCGCAGCTTTCAACGAGGAGCGAAGTAACAAAGTTAATTGCCTTTTGTTGCGACAGCTTGGCAAGGCCAACGAAATTGAACGAGTATGAGCAAGATATAATACTGTTTTATATGTTTATTATGACAGAAATTGCACTTCAATTTTTTTCTATTTTTTTAATTGGCTTTTTCGTATCTTGCATAAAGTTGTAGCGATGTATTGTTAAATGATTTACTTGTATTTTCGAATACAAAGTATGAGCTTTTATAAAGAAATTAATTACTATAAACTAAACTTCCCAAAAATGTCTTTTCAAAAATCATGTCTTATTATTAAGCATAAATCAAATCGTTGACCTGAAATGAAATGTGAAGTGGATAAAGTTTAATGTTCTACATTCGTCGAGACGAATTCGTATACAGTGCGACCATTGGGGCGTATTATCACAGACGTTATATCGATCGTGATGTTCGTTCTAGAGAAAAACGAGAAATTGTCAGGAGATTACATATGATGACACGCAGAACGTGCCATAAATCCTAGGAAGGCAATATGTATTCAAATAATGCGCAGACAATGATCATTATTTCTATTTCTGTTAGACAGATGTTAGATAAATCAACAATTTCATTATTTATGAAAATTATAAATATTAATAAATGTCACAATTTTTTTTTTTAAACATCACCGTAATTCTGAATCTAAAACAAATTATAAATACATAACAATCGCATAATTTTGGCGCTGTCTCTTCTAAAAATCACGTGCGACGTCGACATCAAACAATGTCTGTTCCTATGCGTTTCAACTATCAATATTGAACAAGTAAATGTGAAATAAGATAAAAAGAAAAAGGGAAAGAATCAAAGGCTGAAGGTAAAATTAAAATAGATGTATATTCTCGATGGAATAAAGAGCGTG